AGGGCCTCGCGCCTCGAAGGTTTATGCATTACTTAAAAGCCGCGAACACGACGAAAAAATTTTACTCGTCATAAAACGATAAATAGTTTGTCAAATTTTTATTTATAAAAATGCAGTTTCAACTGCTTTTTATTTTATAAAATCCGTCTTCTTGCGCCACCAGAGGATCTTTTAAACAATAGGTAGTCTGTTAGCGCTGGTCAGTAATAGTCCAAATTCAATACAAACATTTGTTTCTTGAAAATTTGATCACGATTTAAATACAGTATTTATTTTTAATATTACTGATATGTCATTGAAAAGAAAATGTGTTGTATTATCATTAAAAGACAAATTAAAGTATTTGTTTCAATTATCTGAATTTTTCCTTATCCGGACTACCTTCATCCCCAATTAGTCTGGATAATTGAGATTCTACTGTATTTAGATTTAATTTAGAAAATATAATTTAAAATGTATACAGTGAATACTTAATAAATGTGTTATAATTATGCAAACTTTTTAATAGTTCATAATCAATTATAGAGAACTATATTTATAAATATATATATATAATGATTTCCAAATCAAAAAGAAATAAAGTATGTTAATAAGTAACAGCTATATTTTTGTTTCTTCTCATTGCTATGTTCCAAGAAGATTAATCTAATTTGATGTAACATGTAATTGAATAGTGAATCCATTTCAACTGTTATCAATACACCCCAGATTTATAAGCACATGCATGTTTTTTTTTAAATGTTATGATGTGAAACTTCAATATAAACATAATTTGGATCTAAGCAGATCAAATTATATTTGTAAAATATACTGTAAAACTTATAAATTGAACACCTTAACCATTTTTGGAACTAAATAAGTGCTTTATAACTTCATAGCTTGTTTGCATGATTGCAAGTGCCAATTTTTTCAAATGATCTGCTGTCTGCATAGTAAAATTTTTTATATATGTATAATTCATTTAAGAATTATCACTTATTGAATGAATTACAAGATAAACACACAAAATTCATATATTTTAAATTTGAACTTGCATTTTTTTGAAGTCCTCCAAATGAATACATTTTGTGTTGCCATGGATATCTTTTTTCAAATTCTCAAAATTCTTTTAGTTAATTGAATTAAAATTATTGTAAAACATTATTATTTATTTATTTAATAATGTCATATTTAATTTTTTCAAAAAGTTGTGTAAATATAATGTTTACTTAAATAAGTTCCCTATAGTCAAACTTTGGTGTATGGAGTATGTACAAAAAAGATTTCATTATATTGTGTTTGGTTCAACAATTATATAAAACAGCAAAAATCTAATGCTGAATTGTTAAGAAAGTATATACAGGAGTTAGCATCCAAGAAATTTAAAACAGAGGAAAAAATTCTTTATTGTAATGTATTTGACAAATTGTTTCCTGGTAAAAAATGGTTCAAGTAAAACAGCATGTTGAAACATCCTTATATCAGTGCAACATGAAATATTAAAATAAGCCAAAACAACAATTGGTTGTAGATAAGTTCTACAAGTAGTTGCACTGAAACTAACTTTAGTAGAGTTTAGATATCAGTTGGAATACAATCCTAGTAGCCTATGCCAGCCAACAAGATGTACAGGTCAAGTGAATAGATGCTAAGGTAATTAGACCTGCCAGGAGTTATATACCCTCAAGTACTTGGAGACATTAGAAATCTATAAAGCCAACATTGTATCAACTACAAAGACACAGACATCATATCGTCCACTTAAAGATCTATTTATGAAATCAAACTTACTCTATTTGTTTTATACTGTACCACTTGAATATTGTTGTTTTAATTTGATTTCGCTTTGAGTTTTGTTATTTTTAAGATTTTTGTTTCTTTATTTTTGTTTATTATTCATTCACCAAAGATTTCCATTGATTTTAAAAATTTGTATATATTCTATTTATTTTTGAAATGCTCTATACATTTTCACTTAAAGTTACTTGTGTTCTATCTGAGGAAGACCTATTGACTGAAATCAAAACATTTTTACTCTATTAAAACATATTTCTGAAGTTGTGTGTGTTTTTATAATTCTTTCTAATAGACATCATAAAATATTATATACTGTATATACATAATACATTTTAATTTTATTTAATATAATTTCCAGATTAAAATCTCAATTGAGTTAAAAAAATCCTAAAAATCATATTGACTTGTTTAGTTAATGGCAAGAGAATTTACATTAATTGAATTACAAATATAGCCTTAAAAGTCAAAATATCCAAAGAAAAACATGAAAAGATATGGAGAGATGAAACAAAAGCATTATGTTTACTATAAAACATTACAATGAAAATATCAGTAATAAATATTTTTGAATTTTTATATTTATATAATAATTATTGATAAACAATGACATGGAAAGTATATGAGTATATACATTCATGTATGCATATTTATCTATCATAATGAAATAAAATAAAAATTAGCATATATTCAAAATTAAAAGTTTTAAATAAAAATAAATACAGAACAAGACTGTATTAGTAGTAATTAAAATGTCTAAAATATTTTACCTCCAATTGCTGCTGTCAGAGTAACTCCCATTATAGTAGAAAGAACAGTAGTTGTACCAAGACAGCTTAAACCAACAGCATTACTTCCAGACATCATATAGTAGGCCATTGCACCAACATTTCCAGCTAATAAGGCACTGTTAAGCATGTGTCTTCCAGGTAGAAGAAGAGGAGAAGAGTCTAAAAGTCCTATTTAAAAAATATAATATATATATATATATATATTAATACTTATTTAAAATAAAACCAAAATATCAGTTTTTCATATATATTTAAATATCTGTTTTATAAATAAAATAATCATCAAATATAAGTTTTTGATTGCTTTTAAAAGCAATTTTCATTAATGGTCAAAGCAGTTAGGCTGGGACTCCACTACCGTAAAAACGGCATAAAAACTCCTCGCCGTAAAAGCTTTTAATCACATGATCCTGATATTTTATGCTTGAGCAGGTTGTAAAACCAGCATAAAAGTAAGTTGAGCAGTGTTCAACTTTGGACATGAATACGGCCATAAAACAGTACCATCCACCAATCAGAAGTCAGTGAAATCTAGTTCATTGTAACACAGTGCGAAAATGGCGGAAAACGAGTTTTTGTGTATGTTCCCTCGTGGCTACTCTAGAATAGATCTGGAAGATTTATCGAAAACATCTGAAAGTATTCGTGTATCTATGACAAGAAGTATCCCGATTATAATAATGGATGCCTAAAACACACGATACGGACAGCCAAAGGAAAATCCTTCAATTTAAAAGAGTATATAATGAAAAAAGCTAAGCTTAATAAGTGCTGTATATTATCTTAATTAATAATACGATAATAAACGTTAATATATGAAAGTAAAGATATTATTTTTACTACATTTATAATTATAGTACAGAAAAAACTCTTAGAATATAATCATTGCCTTTATAACTTCGATAATACCGTCACCGTAAAAACTTTGCTAGCCGGACCTCCACCGCAATCCAGACGCAAACAGGTCACGTGATTAATTAAAAGCGTTTATGGTGAAGGTTTTTACGCCCACTTTCACGCTAGTGGAGTCTTGGCCTTAGTGCTTTAAACAATAAAAAAATTTATAAAAGTTAACTAAATGTTTATTAAAAACTTACGAAAAAAAATTTATAAATAATTAAAATTTAATTAACCTTGGAGTTTTCCATATGCTACTAAAGAACCACTAAATGTGATTCCTCCAATGAAAGTTCCAAGAAATAGAGCAGTTTTAATAGCATTTGCTGCTGGATCTGTGGCAAATGTGGGAAAATCAACAATATAAGTTGCAAAGCATGTCAATACAGCAGCCAATCCTACCAAACTATGAAAAGCAGCAACTAATTGAGGTAAATCGGTAATTTCAATTTTCTTGGCAATGTATAATCCAATGCTGCCACCTAAAACAACAAGATAATTTTAGTATTAATTTATAACAATTATTATAAAGAAAAATATGAAAGTATATTTTATTACAATAAAGAAATGATAAAACAAATAAAATATAATTCATATTTTGAATATACAGAATATAATTTCATGACTGACAATAAACATAGAAAATTAATTTATGTAAACAATATTTACCTCCTAGCATACATGCAGAAATTTGAGCAGCAAGTGCTGGAGATATATCCATTATACCTAACGTAGCTGCTAAACCCCCAGAAACACCCACCATTCCTAATGCATTACCCAGACGTGATGTTTTTTGTGAAGCAAGTCCAGCCAAAGCACCTACACAACAAAGAGATGCTCCAAGATATGCCATCTGATGGATTTCTGGATAGCCAGCTGATGCTACTAAGGCATAACCTCCCGTAAATGCAACAGCTAAAAATATGTAAATAAGTATTATTATTATAGCATAAATTATTAAAAAAATTTTTTTGTTTTATTTTCATTAAAATTTTAAAAATAAATAAATATAAATATTGATTTAAAAAATAAATATTTTACATAAATTATAAGTCATATATGTTGTTATTTCTAAATTTACAATGCATACATGTTTATGACTTGCATGTCAGAGTTTAGTAAAAACTGTTTGATTAATACTATGAATATTAACACTATTAGACTGAGTTTGTCTTATTCCTTCAATATAATGATGTATGTCATTGTAATTTCAGATATGAATGCATATACAACTGAAACAAAATGCAGCAACTACTTGTATAATAATAATTTTCAGTATAGTACATTATTAAATTAATATAAACATAATAATCTTGTTTTCATAAAAATTATACGATTACTTAAAAACTTTTTATTAAGCATATAGAAAAAGCCTGAATATTCTCTCATACTTTTTGTAATATATACAAATAAAAATCTACTTTAAAATTTCTTTTACAGTAAAAACATACAATTGACTTTATCATCTCCTTAGATTAAAAGAATTCAATAAACTAACATTTTCTTAAAAAACATTTATAGAGAGCTTTAAATTTAACAACTATTAAAAAACTTTCTTACCTGGTATTCCATATAAATAATTATATTCTGGTGGATCAGTAGGTCTCCTAAACATATCTAACATTCTTTTTGTAACAAGAAAACCACCACAAATATTAATAGTAGAAATAAATGCAGCAGCTGCACCTAATCCTTGTGAAACTGTAGTAGGATACAATCCACCACCCATTAATAATAAGCCTCCAACTGCAGTTATACCAGATATTGCATTAGTAACTGACATTAGTGGAGAATGAAGTGCTGGAGTTACACCCCATACAGTATGATAACCTAAAATATAATCATAAACATCAATTTTGAATTGATAAAGAACAAATTCATAATGGTCAAATATAATGGCTTCTTACCAACTATTCCAGACAACCCAAATATAGTTGTCATTGTAGTTATAGACTGATTTGGTGATACCATTCCAAGTCCAACTAAAGAACCTAATCCTGAAAATTTATATAATTCATTTATTTATAACTATATCATCATTTATAATATTTTTACACCACATGATAATGTTTATATTAAATATAGATTCCATAATTATCAATAAGGCTGAAAACTAGGCACCACACACTGTGTAAAAGTAAAATGTTAAAATATTTTTTGATATCCAAAATGACTCATAATAAAATCAATGTACTATTGAAAATAAAATGCAAAGCCAATATACAGTAGATAAAAAAAAATTTGTAAAACAAACAAATCACTTTAAACCTATTTTTAAAAAACTAAATTTTAAATGCAGAAATTCATCAATTGTATACTGATAGTTTTTTATCATCACTCCTCTATTATGAATTTTATAAAAAAAAGAATCTAAAAAATGTATATTCAATATCTGTATAATTTTTTAAAAATGATGCTATTGAATTACTTTCCAGCCCTCAAATTTCTTATGTATGATAATCTAAATATAAACCTATATAACAAAAATAAGTTTTATTGTAGATGACACATATTTTAGAATATAATTATAACTACAACTTACATTTATAATTTTATATTATAATCATATGAGTGTAAAAATTATATACAATAGATGTACTACATTTGCAGGAGTTACATTCTGCAAAATTGGTGCAAATATGAAAAGGAGTAACACATTATTTATTAACACTAACCTTATATTAGAAAATAAAAACATGTCTTCACACAAAGAAATTCAGCAATCATATTTGTAATCTCTCCCTCTTTTATCTTAACATTTCTTATGGTAGATTCATTTGTGATGAAAGCATTTATGATGAACAACAATGGCTGCTGAATTACATCCCTGAAAACAATCTAACATTTTAATTTTGTCTTTGAGCACTTTCTTTCACCTTTTTGATAAAATATCAAACTATTAAAGTCTTCTTGTATAAATGACACTGATGATTTGTAAGGATAAAACAATACAACTAAAATTCACAAGAAAAACAATGCTGACATTCACAATGCATACTAACATGAAACAATTTTTACTGTCTTTATAAGAGCATGTGCTAAAATAACACAAGACAAGATAGCATTAACAATGTATTTGTCAATAAATTGCAGTAGATTAAAAAAGTTTTTTAATTATTTAATTGTCTCAGATTAACATGAATTATTTTTATTCATCATTTGGCTTCATGAACATGAAAAATGGTTGCAAATAACTGCAGATATGCAAAATGCATGAATAATGAATGCACAAATATGGAGCTTATACTGTATATATTAATTAGATATTAGTAACTTTTATATACAAATTATGATATAAGAATTTTACCTGTTGTATACAATAAGGAATCTTTCAATGTCTCATTAAAATAATTTGGTTCGGGTGTAACAGGTTTAGCAGCAACAGGTTTTGCAACGGGAGCTGCAGGCACTTCTTTTGGAGGCGGAGGAGGCCACATCAATTTACCTTCATGTAATACAATTGATCCTCGTGTAACTTCATCATTTAAATCAATATGATAATGGTCTTTAGTGCCTGTTAAAACATTTTTGTAAAGTTACAAATTAACAATACATTAATTTTAAATGGCATAGCTATTTTATAACTGAAATATTATAATAAAATCAATATAATAAACTTTCACAATCAACTGCTCATTTTCAATACAAAATGAGTTAATGAGATATTTCAATGTTATAAATTTTATGTGAAAAATAAACTGAAAACAGAAATATTTGAATACTTTTGAAAGATTACAGAAAACACTTAATAACCCAAAATTAATATATTTTCCAATCAAATAACACTTATTTCATAAACAGTATTTCAATTTAATAAATAATAACAGTATTATTTACATTCATTTCTGATTTAAAAAGATATTTCCATTTATAGTGTAACAAAATTGTAAATTATATCAATTTAGCTACAGCTGTATTAACTAAATAAATAAATAGTTATAATAAAGTTTTAACTAATTCCTGATATAACTTCTATAATATAAAGACTAATATTAGAAAAATGAGAAAAATAATTTTGTAACTATTTGATTATACAATTTTTAATATTATTGTAGATTAATTAAAAGATTATTCATTTACTAATATGTATATTTTATATAAGTAACAGTAAAACTTTTATAACCGTCATTTCAAGGTAATTTAAGACTTACCTAATGACAATAGAAATTTAGATATATTNAGTATTTTCTAACAAACAAGTAATGAGAAATATTTGTTTAAAACATAAACTTTGAATATTTGATCTCTCAAAGTTGTCATCATTTTCCAAAAATCTGACAATATTAAAAATATAATTTTGTGGTGCATAAATTACATTGCAATCAAAAACATTTAGATAAAATATTTAATTTAAAATGGAAATCAAAGTTGAGACTTAAATTATCTTATATCTGAAATAACACAATGTGAAGATTATGAATCATTGCATTATGTTTATAGCTATATAATTCAGAAAAATCTAAATATATTAATAAATTTCACAATAATGAGAGTATTTATTACTGGAATTCTAATGTTTAGAAAGACTTCCTAATATTACAGTAGATTCTCGTTTATAACTTCACTTTTACAAATGGTATAAACTTTATTGTGATTTATACAATACCATCTTCAAGTGTCTTTTTTGTTATATATATTTTCTTGCTAGACATCTCAGTGTAGTGTTATATAGTTTAAACTAGAGTTTCAGAAAAAGAACTTCAATTTATAACACAGCCTATTGGAAAATGGAATCTGATTTATGGCAGCTTGCTTAGCAATGCTTTCATCAAAAGAAATTAAGACATAAAAGCTGGCTGTTGAACTTATTTTAGAAAGTAAAATTTAGTAATAACTGAATGATTCTAATAATTGTGGATTACATCATGCTATTTAATAACAGACTACATTTTTGTTTTACAAATTTTCCAAAACCTAAATTTATAGTAATTTTTTAAAAAATAATCTAACAACATTACAAACAAGATGAAAAATACTTTAGGAAAATAATGGGAAGAANTGTATATATATATATATAATATTCAATCTATAGAACAATTAACAGCACACAGAAAACTCAAATGAGAACAATATGTGCAGAGAAGAGGTGATGAAGAATTAATAAAACTGACTTATAAATGAAAACCAAAAGGAAAGACTATTGGCAAGACCAAAATAAAGATTCAAAGACACAATAGGAAAAGACAGGACAATCCAATCATAACATGGTTCATTCATGCTTTAGAGATATAGAGGATAAATGAGAAATGACTAATTATTTTAATGATTAATTTTGAATACTCCAAATGAATTATATATTAAAACATTTTTTACAATTATATTTAATGTTTTACTTTTGTTATTATTTTGTTATATTTTAACAAATAACTACAAAAACCTAAACACCAGCAAATTTTTAAAAATGCAAATATTTCACCAGTGCTGAACGAGCACTTCTTCCCCATGGCATGGAAGACTTTCTACGAAATATAAATTCTCACTGTCCTCCCCCTCCGTTCTCTTGTCTTATGTCATATGTCATTTCCCCCTACACACATTCAGCAATTTCCCAATTAACTCAACAGTTGTTTGCCTGATGATGCCTGTCAACACAGGTGAAAATGTTTACATTTTTAAAAATTTGCTGGTTTTTAGATTTTTTAATTGTTTGTTAATTCTAAGTTAAGTAGTTGTAAAGTAGCAGTTTTTGTTGATTTTATTCTGTTTATTATTTTGATATTATTTCATTTAGTTCATTAATATATCTTTTGAATTTTTTTCTTAATATGCTAAAAAAAATTAATGAACAAGTTTTGTATAAATCTTAACATAATAATAAATCTGATAAAAAGTAAATACAAAAGAATTTTTTCTTAAGACAATGATTCTGATTAATTTTTAAGAAAAATTAAAACTTAGAATTTTTTATATATATAAAATTTTGAAAGAATTTCATTATAGATTTCTGAAATAAATATCATATTCATTGAATATTTTTATTACTATTAAACATTCATTTAAATTTTACAAGAATTGTCTGAATTATCTCGTTATAATTACTTTTCAGTAATATAGTGAGATAATTTAGACAACTCATCTCCTAGTTAAACATTAACTATGATGCTAATTAATATTCCTAATACAGTAAAACCTCAATTTAACAGACTAATTTGGGTGAGGTGTCTCCATTAATGCTGAAAGTTTGCAATTAAATAAAGTAGATTTTCTGAATGCATGTGTTAAAATACACCAGCAAATGAAAATGGGTTGCACAACCTTCCTGACAACATTTAAAATTTTGGTAGTGCCATATGTTATCATATTTTATTAAAACAACTTTTTATATTTTTAACTATTATAAAATGGCAAAAAGTAATTTTTAGAGTAGGAATGAGTTTTATAAAAATTGTAAATGCTAATAAAGAGTAAAATAGTCATTAAGTCTGACCCTACTGGAGATAAACATGACCCCCACTATCTTCCCACCCCTTCGACCTTAAACCACCAAAATTTAATAGCGTGAATCCCCTAATAAACAAACCTCTCTGCAAAATTTCAGAAATTTTTGACAAAAGGCACAAGAGTTATTAACTTTCAAATAGGGTGAACAAAATTGTGCCCTCCCACACACAAAAACATACATGCAAATAGAAAAAAACCCTTGAATATTTTTGCATTTCTCATTGTTTCAAAGTGTCCTAAGTCCAAAAATGTAAAAATCTGCAGGGGGTCATGTTTTGCTGGATTACCATACTTTTCCTCTGTATAGCAGCTGAGAAAGTAAAACTGACAAGTTAGTTAATGTTTTTAGTTATGTAGATACATTTCTGTAATTAAAATGAAATATGAGAAGTTTAATTTTACAGAAAAGTGTCCTGTATGTATTATTGCTTATGTACTCACAGTAATTCTGAAACTGTAATGAACAAGTATGCAATCTAAATTGAAATAAATATTTTTTAGGAAATTTTGGATTTGAAAAAAAGTAAATAATCTGTTAACTTAAATATAAAAAACATTTTAAAATTAACAGGGTATTAATTTTTGCATATGACATATAGACCAGAAATGTCTGTCTGTTAAATTGAAGTTTTACTGTAATTATTTTTCTATACTTCATCATATAAAAAAATTAAACACACAGATAAGCTTTAATATTGAAACAAATATGCAGTTACACAATAATTTTTTGAAATTTATTATGAAAAGATTAAGTAACAGTAAAACTTTTATAACCGTCATTTCAAGGTAATTTAAGACTTACCTAATGACAATAGAAATTTAGATATATTATTTGCATAAAGTGTAGATGATTGTGTTGGGAGCCTGCTTGGTAAATCTGTATAACCAATATGAATAACTCCTTTATGAACACTAAGTTGACCTGGTTTTGTTGTTTCAACATTACCACCGGCTTCTGCTGCCAAATCAACTATTATCGAACCTGGCCGCATAGACTCAACCATTTCCTATGTAAAAATTTAAGAAAATGCTCTATGAAAATTAACATAAAAAACATTTAACTTAATATTTGAATTTTTAAATGATATCCAAAAGTTAATGTAATAATTTAAAATTTTGCTGTTTCCACTTATGTATATACTGTAATACTTCGAATATAAGCTGCATAAACTTACTACTACTACTACAACTACTACAACTAATGTGTTAATAAGTCATTAATTGTTTTATTGCACTGTAAATGAAAACTTTTACTTCCTGATTTTAAGTCACTCAAATTATAATGTTTTTATTTTATTCTATTCAGAAGAATGTTTTCTTTAACATTTAACAACTAGTTTTGTTAGATCTGATTAATTTTATTTTTAGTCACAGTTTAACCAGCATACCAGTAACCTCCAGAATTTCCAGCATGCTGGAAAATACCATAAAAAATAATTTGTCAGCATTAATAAAAATGATGACAGTGATTTATCACAAATTAAAGAAGTTTAACATCTACTACAAAAAATTGGAAAGTAACATCTGCTTAGAAATATCTAAACAGTTGTGCCTGTATTTTTTTTAGCTTATTTAAATTTATAACTATTTATAATTACCCAGTGAATTCTTGATATAGTGAATGATTTAGTTAACTCATCTGAGGTTCACAATATCAAGAGTCCACTCTGAGTCAAAATATATATATATATATTTTTTTTTACTTTATTGTTTATTATTTTATTTATCCTTATAATTACTTTATTTTTTCAAACATTTATTGCTCCAGTTTGGATCATTTGACTCAGAGTGAACTCTTTGATATTGTATATATATATATATAANAGGTAACTCTCTTAAGTTATTTAAATTTTACAGAAATATAAAAATTTACAAAAACAAATTTAATACTCTGGTTATAAGTCGTGGTGCTGGTTTTCCTGGAATCAATGCTGTCGTTATTACAATATCAACTTCTTTACACTGCTTTGCAAATAATGCCATTTCTGCTTCTATAAATTCTTTTGACATTTCTTTAGCATAACCACCTACACCTTCTCCAGATTCCTGTTAAAAATCATATTTTTCATTTAATAACCTTTACAATTATATTAAATCAATTTTACATTAAAATATTTTTTATTAAAATTTATTAACTTAAAAATAATAAATTAAAATCACTAGTATATTATTTTACATCTTATTATGTATCCATAAACGAAATTGTAGCTGACCTTTTTTGATGTTCAACTAAAAATTACATACTAATTGAACTGAACTGAAACCAAAAAAAGCCTGCATCATTTTCACTGATGAAACCAGGAACTGAACAAGTTGTTTTTCACTGGTCCTTACAGTTTACCAAAATGTTTTTATAGTAGTAAGATTAACTATTGGTATGAAACTTACAAATGTGGAGAGCATTGTATATTGGTTCAAAATTCATTCAAGTTACTGTTAATTGAAAGGCAGACTCAAGCTGCAATTGTCATTTCAAAATGCACACACTATAGTAAATTGCCTAATGTGGTTACATTTTCCATGCAGTGAGTGACCATTTCTTTTGAAAATTGTTGGGTAATAATTATAAATTTCTATAGTTTAATTCTATATATAAATGTAGAACAGTAAAAATATGCAAGCTATAGTGTATAATTTGTTATACTTTGAAATTCTGATAGAGTAATATTCAATAATAAAAATATCAAATAATTAAAATGTCAAGAATCTAATTATCTGTAGTCACTTCAAAAGACCACTGAATTAATAAGATGATAGCAGTATATCATTCATTATTATTATTCTGTCATATTTCAAAACTTCTTTTACTGAACATCATTACATCATAGTAATGTATCAGATAATAAATTAATGCTTTTTAAGAAGACTTTAACCAAGAAGTAAACTCAATGAGCCCAGGCCTCTTAGAAATTGAAAAATTACGAACATTAACAAAATTTATTCTTTCTGATAAACAGCACTTTACTCACTAAGTAAATTATGAATAAAATAAAAGAAAGAGAAAAGTACAAAAATATTACAATATTGGAATAGGAAGAAGAATCATCCTTTACATCCTCTCTCTGAAATTTGCTTAAGCAGTTCTTGCAACACAAATAAGTGTAGAAAGGTATTTTCTAGTCTGAAATATATATATTATCTTTGTGTGTACAAATATGAAATTTGAAGTACTAGATAATGTAATGTTAATAAGATTGTTTTGAAAAATTTACAAAATAATATTTTTTGTTAATCAATATAATTCAAAATTTAACAAATGAAAAAATGTCAGTAAACTTTTATCTTGTTTAGTCATTCTTTTGTAATTTGAACAACAATAATTTTAGGTTATATAATATATATTTGGTTGAACTTTTTATTTGTTAAATGTTATACTTGAATCTCTTAACAATAATGTGATTATTTCCAATTTATAATTTTATTGTTTTTTTAAAAAGATTTATTGCTGATTTAATGTTGTTATTTTCAAATTTAGATTTCATACCAACATGGTAACTAAACATCAAATTGAACTGCTATCCATTGAACCAGTTACCAGTCCTTTGCAGATCAGATAAAGAGAGCTGTAAGGAAACTTTAAAGGGATCTATAAACTGGAGCTGAATAGTATTTTCAGTTCAAATCCCTCTACAAAATACATATTTAATAAAATTCAAATTTACTATTATAATAAAATATTACAATTTGATAATTTATTGTCATAAAAATAGCAAATGATTAATGATTTGAACACAACACAACGATTTGAAAATTTAATTTCTAATATCACTATGTGTAGAGTTATTCATGTATATTAAGCAAAAGAGCAGGAATATTTATAGACTACTTTTAAAACATGAAAATAGCCTATACAGTAATTTAACCCTTTGGTTTAATACATATGATTCAGTTTATGGTTTAATTTGTTAAATTATTTCTAATCTCAAAAAGTATTTTGAAATATTCAATTATTATTACTAATTAAATATACATTTGTACATAATATTCAATGTTTGAATGACTTTAAAAACATTTCTTTCTTAGTTTCGCTGAGACCCTCTAATGCTTGCTCAATATCTGGCATGAGTTTGTCATGTGAAATTAATGGTAGTGGGGCATATTTAGAGCCGTATTTACATGCTTCCTTTACGTACTTAGGCAATATGATGTTGTCCCAGCATATAATCATTGGGCTGGTCAATTCTTTAAAATGATAATCTTGATGTTTTAAGATCCATGTCATTTTGTTCCTGTATCTCTTCTTACATCTTTCTGTCACCTGCATGGCCAATGTTACTACTTGTGTGTTAACTTCTTTTAAGAGCTTAGGGCCGCGGTCATATAATTTCATATAATTATTTTCTAGCTCGATTAGCTCTTTCAGCAGGACAAACTTTCTCCTTCTCATATTGCAGATTGCTTTACATAAACAAATATAAGAAGGAGAAAGTTTGTCCTGCTGAAAGAGCTAATCGAGCTAGAAAATAGTTATATGAAATTATATGACCGCGGCCCTAAGCTCTTAAAAGAAGTTAACACACAAGTAAAGGAAGCATGTAAATATGGCCCTAAATACACCCCACTACCGTTAATCTCACATGATAAACTCATGCTGGATATTGAGCAAGCATTAGAGGGCCTCAGCAAACTAAGAAAAAACTTTTAAACAAAATAAAACAAAAAATTTAGACTTTTATACATAAATTGATCTGAATTCTAAACATTGTAATGATTTACACCTTTTTGGTGGTGTAATTAACTTCATTAGAGTATGAATATTTTAACTACATCATTCCTAATTAATGTTATAATCTATTCAAGAATCTTTAATAATAATTGTATCTTGACAACTAGAACATTGCACAACCTTGTTGTATTGTGATAGAATGCCTAACAAGTGCAAGGATTGATTTGTTCTTTTTGGCTCTGCTGAGTCAGAGCCAGAAAGAACGAAGCAATTCTTGCACTTGTTAGGCACAGAATAGGTAATCCTCATACATGACATTTTCAGACAGGAAGACCTTGCACTTGCAACAATAAAAGAGACTATCCTTATACCTATATATGTGGCTAGAGCATTTGGCACCAGGAGCAAACTTAAATATGGCATCTTTTGGATAAGCCTTTCATGAGTGTTACAAATTAAAAATTATAAAATCACTTTTCATTAATTTAATGCATATTATATTTTATATATAATAATTTTTCATACTTGTGTGTGAGAGTTTTTTTATGAATTTATTAGTTTGCCCATGTAGCAATTTTGGAATTTCAGTGTCCATCATCTTGGTGCCCTGGACACACCCCCTCTGCTTCTGCCTTTCCATGACTTGCTTGTACAGTACCTACCAGCCACAGGAGAGGCAATCTAAGAACAAAGCAATTGTTATCAATTGTTTTATTCTTGTGTTTTGTTTGTTTTTTTGCACCTATTTTCTGTTAAGTGCAAGCAATGCTGTTTTTTATTTTCTCCCAACATTCCATTAAGCATGCTCAATCGTACCAGAGAGCACATACATTGTCACTTTGACTCCACTGTACTGTACATCAAAAATGAAGTCATGAACCCTTATTTTTATTTAAATAGAGTCCTCATTGCAATTAATGGAAAATGGCAAAGTTTTATCAAAATCAATCAATCAAATTTTGAGTGTGAATGCATTTTGTAAGCTAAATAGAAGTTTCACTAATGCTCCAGATCAATGAATATAACAATGTATCTGAAAAATACTTAATAATATAAATTGATTAAAGAATCAATCTAATTTCCCTGTAATTCAATTATATATATAAGCCATCAAATCATATTTTAATTATCAATCTTTAATCCTTTCCTTAATTGCACTATCACAATAACAAACACTTAACCATTAAATATGCAGTAACAGAAATGATGCAAAACTAAAGGAGGTCAATCAAAAGAATCAAAAATGTTAGATGATTAGTAAATGTTAGTTACTGCATATTTAATGGTTAAGTTTATTTAATTAAAATTTAAAGAAAAAACACTTGAGAATAAAAAAGTTTTAAAACATTCATTTTAAGCAATAAAATCCAATTTTTTTTTTCACATAACAGTAATAATATTTAAAGTATATTTTAAGTAGCATAGGATTATTCTTACTTCTAAGTAAAATTTCTATTAAATTGTAATTCTAGTTATTTTGTATTAAAAATATTTTCCTAAAGAAACTATGATTAAAATATTTTTAAAAGTTTGATGATGATGAATATACTGTAATTTAAAATACATTTATTTTTGAACATATTCAAAATTGTTATTTCTTATTAGTTTATTGATATTTTAAATTTTCTATTGTTTTGTTAGGGATTTTCTTTTTATTAAATTTTGTATCTTCAAAGATTTTACATTATTAAATACTGTATTTTCAAATCATTTTTAAAAAATAGCATGAATTGACATCAAAAGTTCCAATTAACTGCTTTGTTACAACATCTAGCATAATACAACAAACTTTCATACCTTTAGGTTAATTTCTAAAAATTCTGCTCCCATTGATTCTACTTGCTCCTTAACGGCTTCTCTTGTATCAAAAGCTCGTACAATTGCTCCCATATTTTTAGCTGTGCCAATTGCTGCCAAACCAGCAACACCACCTCCGATGACTAATATTTTTGCTGGTGGTACTTTTCCTGCTGCTGTAATCTGACCTATTAATATATAAATTTAATTTAGAAATTAAAAATTTTCTACCACTTTTTATATCACTGCATTTCCTTCTTTCTTATATCTGATAGTGATCAATTAATAAAGTTTATTTATTTTCCATTAATTAATTTTTAAAAATGACATTTTTTATGTATGCGTGTGTTTTTATATACAGTAGAACCTCGAAAACTCGACCTAATGTGGACCGAAGGGTGGCCGAGTTTGTGAAAATGCCGAGTTATCGGGAATGGGGTTAAAAAAAATAAGTACGAGTATTTCCTCAGAAAATACTGTACTGTACTTGTACAGTATTTACTTGTACAGAATATAACAGAGAATAAACTGCCCAAATACCCTTAAACAAAGGAAAACTACGTACTTTATGAAGGCTACGGCCTTTACTACATGAAAATGAAAATTAATGAATACACTGTGTACAGTAATTTACCTGATAAGACAGACCTCAGAAAAATACTTTGAGAGCTTTTATACTTTTATAAAGCTGTCTATAATGAAAATTAATTAACTAAGGATTTTTTCGCCCTGCCAAGGTGTGGACCAGTTATGCGGAGTGCTAAGTTATCGAGGGACGAGTTTTCGAGGTTCTACTGTATATGAAAAATTACAGGCTATTTTTATAATATAATTCAAGTAATTTAACATTGCAATCTTATAATAAATTAATAATTTCTAAATTATTTATAAATTAAGTAATTTAATTCTAATATCTGGAAGAAAAGATATACTTGGAGCAGAATAAAGGTCCAGAAATTCTGCATGTAGAAATTTCAAAAGATAAGTTTATATCTAAAATAAAAACATTCCTGTTTCAGAATACATTAATCCAACTACCGGCAGGTAGCAATCTGATGACTGATCATCATATATTGTGAGAGTTAATATACAGGCAAAGGTAAATAGATGCTATATTTAAAGGTAAGTTTATGCTTACACTGTTCACAATAACAACAATCATATATATTTTTATTGTTTATATCTATAAAACATTCAAACTAATTGTTAGTTTTGTATTGATATTTTCATTGCAATCAAATGCTGATCAAGATTTGACATTTGTCATTATCACTATGGGACTGACCAATTGACATTTTTTCTACAATTTCCAATGATATACAATAAACAACAACTCTATAACCCAACTCTTTTAATCTATCACAACCAGACAATCTGCTGAATTATCAGGCTATTAAAAGTTAAAAGGCTAATTTATAGCCTTTTAACTTAATACTTTAAAAACGTTTTCAACTGTTTTTAACTTCAACCATTATAGGTTAAAAATGGTTGAAAACATTTTTAAAGTATTAAATAATTTGCTGGATAATTAAAGGTGGTGTTTATTTTAGTTATTCTAATTCCAGTACACTGTAATAGTATTGTTTGTTTAAAAAAAATTAAAGACATTTATAAGGAATACTAAAATCAGTAACTTCAGTCTCATTTTAGATCAGACCTTTCAGCAAGATCATTATTCAGCAAATCAAAAAAGAGAAAATTATTTTCTTTTATAAAAATAACAAAGATTAAATAAAATTAACTTTAAAATAGTTTAATTAAATTAATTTTTAAAAAATAAAATAGTAATACCTGTAAAAAATCTTCCAAAATTATTAGCTGCTTCTACAACTGCTTTATAACCAGCAATATTTGCCATAGAACTTAAGGCATCAAATACTTGAGCACGACTAATCCTTGGAATTGCATCCATAGCAAAAACATTCATATTCAGTTTAGCAAGTTTATCAACTAATGGCCTATTTTGAGCAGGATATAGAAAGCTTATTAAATTACTTCTTTCTCTAAATTGTCCAAGTTCTGCATCAATGGGTGCTCGAACTTTCAAAATTATATCAGATTCAAACGTTGATTTTAAATCTGTAATTTTTGCACCTGCGGCTTCATATTCAGCATTATAAAATTTAGCTTCTTGTCCAGCATTTTCCTCTACATTTACAGTAAAACCTTTCTTAACAAGCGTGGATGCAGCTGCCGGTGTCAAAGCAACTCTTCTTTCATTTTGCCATATTTCTTTTGGTACTCCAATTTTCAATTTCATATAAGGTATTCCTGAAATTATTTGTTCAACCTTTTCTGGTGTTCCAGCTTTACACTGAAACTTAGGAAATGTCTGAAAATTTCGTACTGATGACCTCCGTGTAGCTTTCACATATATATTGCCAATCTTTTGAGCAGTGGAAACAGATGTAGTTTGTAGTAAATGAAACATAACTGAAATTAAAATACTAAAAATTAATATTTAGAAAACACAGAAACTATATTTTGTATAGAAGAGAATCATATTTAATAGGAATAGATTATGATTTTAAATCTTTATATGATTATATATTACTACTACTCTTAAATATTACTTATCTATTTAAGAGATATTAAAAGTAATTTACAACGGTTTAAATAGTATTTTATTCTTATTATCAAAAAATATTTTTTTAAATTAACTTAACCAAATCAACCAGAAATTAAGGATTATTCTCATATTATAACTTCAGTTCTAAATTATTTAACAAATTAAAGTTAAGGTGGTGCCATTATCTTGTCTAAATTTAATTAATTAAATAAATAATCAATAAAAATCACACCAAGTTATTTAGTAAGTAAACTGAATCATCATAAAAAATAATTCATAATTTCTTAATATTAATTTTATATATCAAATTTGGTATAAATGTAAATTATTGTATTTTTAAAAACAATTTAAATCATCAAACCAAAAAATCATATTCCTAAATTTTACATCAGCAGAATGTCTTGTTTTTTCATTTAATTTTTTATAATTAAATATAAATATTATCATTGGATTTATTAAATTAATTAAAACAAATTTTTATGTATCAGAAAAAAGTCAAAATGTGGGGTCTATCTGAAAGGCCAAAGATACTTCCAATATATGGAAACTGATGCTCTCGAGTAATTAATTATTTTATTTATATCATCACAATGCCGGGCTGCAATTTTTAATCATATTTTTATTTTATTTAATTTAAAATATTGTATTAAAAAATTCCACCTGAAATTTGTAGTATCATGCTTCTGCACATTATACTTTTCCTGTTAGCATCAGAATAGTGCTGGTCATCTATCTAATTACTTTCAAGACAAAAATTTTTTAATTGAAATAATGTGACTTCTGGTGAAAACCAGTAGTTATTATATAGTTAATTAGGGCCTCCTGCCACTAAGTTTTCCATATTTGATCTCAATATTCATCTATCTCTGTTCTTGAGATTAAGGAAGGGCAGACAGACAGACAACAGTGGGGAATTTATAGATCTACAATTTTTCCAAATTGAAACACAGTAACTATTCATAGAAGCATACCAGCAAGTCACTAATTGATGAAGATTGCCCCTTACACTTGTCTAACATAGCAAAATTGAAAAATTTGGCAAAAAGCTTGCTGCATACTTTTTCAAAATGACAGACTCCAGGATTGTTGTGCAAGCAAATGTATCTGTTCCTGCCACCTGTTTTTATGAAAACATGAATTATGTTTAATCACATTTTCATTTCCTGAATACATTCAAGAAATGAAAATGTGTTGATTTAGTTAATTTTTTAATTTATTTTGTTTGTGTGAAAATACATTGAATAATTATTTTACAGTTTAATTTTTATGCCTTTTAATGGCAGATTTGTGGATTTTTCACTAGTAATAGTAGTTTTCATAATGAGTAAATTTATAAAAGAAAAAGCTCATTTTTTTAAATATATATGTTTTAATCACAATTATGATATTATAACTAAAATATTTTACAGCATAAAAATTATGTAGAAATAATTTTAGCTTCATAATAAAACTAAATTTTTAAAAAATGTTGTGAAATGTTAAAGTATATGATAATATGTGACATAATATAAAATTACTGATAAGCACTACAATCTTATAGAAATTTCTCATATGTTTAGTAACTTTCTTTTAAACTTGAAATACAGTAACTGATTTTTTTTAATGATAATAGAAAGTGAACAGGCTAATAACAAAAATAATTGGTTTATAACATGCATGATAAAACCAATCATTCTGAAAAATAATGTATTATCATTAATCATTACTAGCTATAATTTAAAAAATAAATAAAAAATTATCTTTATATAAGTTTTCATATTATATTGTTTTTACTACATTTTTATGGCATTTTTATAAATTACAGTGGTACCTCGGGATACGAATGCCCCATCATACAAAATTTTCAGGATACGATATGAAATTCCAACATATTTTTGCTCCACGATACGAACAAAAACTCACCATACGATATTACATTAGTTCGCAGCGCCATTTTTTATTCATTTCTGTTCATCGGTCTCAATCCGCGTGTTTGCTTTATCCTGGAAGGATCTTGCTCGATAAAGGAAATCTCGAGGTATTATCAGAAAGTGACTGATTTTATTGAAAAGAAACATCCCGAAAAGGTTCACACTGGCAGTATTTGCCTAAGTCATTTTAGAAACATTTTAAAAAGTAGGCAAAGCCAAACCTCTTTGGATAGATATTTTACCAAGCGACCTCTATCCAGTGAAAGTGCTGGTGGAAGTGAAGGAAAGAAAGCAAAAAGCAGTGAATAAAAATT